CTACTTTTCTGACAATCTATTGCTAGGGTTAATTTAGATTTAATTGAGATTGGAAACAATTTAATGAAGAATTTGTATATCTATTTTACGTTCCAATTATTTGTCTGTGAAGGTTATAGTATATATTTCCATTTACCGGCTCATGCTAAAATTTTTTTAACATCATTTAGATAAACATTATATTGTTTTATTGCTGTAATATACTTTTCTGTAGATATGAGGCATAAAAAAAGCATTATAAAAATGTAACGTTAGTATTTAAAATACAAAAATAATTATTTTTTCAGCTAATTATTCTAAAGTAAAAATAAATCTAATCTGACTACGTTGAAGCAAATATTTCATGGCTAAGATCTTTAGGTTGGTACTTTTAAGACCTTGTTACTCTGATCCATTATATGTGATCCGGACAAACTAAACCAAATTTCTAGAAAAATCATACCATATTACAATAACAATATTAGTATACGAAATTTTGTTAGAATTGTAAATCTTTGAAGAATCTGTATGCTATATAGATGTGATATATGAATCAGAAAATTGTGAATCTTTTTTCCATTTACTTATAGAATCAACGCCATATACTTTACATTTACATTTCTACATTTCTATGTTCAAGAAAAAATAAAATACCATTTACAGCTTTCCTACTGCTTGATTGCTTATTGTCGTTTTCAAGCAATGAGATCTCCAAAGAGATTAGATGAGATAAAGTGAAGTCTAAGCCAAGTCTATTTAGAGGCAGACTAAACAGCTGCTGGTGCCTCGAAAGTGCAAATTTAAGCTCATGTGGCAGACTCCAGTTTAAGGACATTCGCATTAGCAGACGTCCGATCCTGTGGTTTCTTTTTTGCTTAGCTTATTTTGTGTATTTTTTTCTACTCATATGAAATATGTGGACAACTGTTGTCTGCGATGCCGATGCTATGCTCTTGATGAGGGATAATAATTGCTTTGCCGGCCACAGCGATGTCTGGTGAATGCTTTTACATACGTTGACAGCAGATGCAATTCGCCAGATCGGAAAGGATCAGCAGACAGACAKAAGGACGAWCAGGCCGTCTGGCAATCGGACCGACAGACAGCAAAAGCATTTAAATTTTGATATTAAAGTGGGAAATGCATATTCAGCATCCTGGCTGGCAGCAGGCGCGCGTTCCATCTGAAATGCAAGGAAATACAGCTGCTGTCGCTGGGCCTGGCCAAAAGTAAAACAAGAACGACAACAACAATAACAATAACAACAGCGGCAGGAGCAGCAGAAAAAGGATATGCTGTCGAAACAGGAACCACAAGCAAGAAGTTGTGCAGAAATCGAAAAACCTACCCCCAGCAAACACTATATATGTACGAATATACATATATATCGTGCAGATCGTTCGCATCTGGGGCTGCATTTTGCATTGGAAGGGTTTTTCAGTTTGTTTGTTTGTTTGCTCGCTGACCAAAAATAAAAACCAGGTGTAAATTTTACCTCTTTCAACTCCTTTATCCCGCATACGCTTCGGCACTCACATGACGATCATAAGCATGGCGCAGCATTGGGTTTCCGCATGGGTCTTTGTTGAGGCTTGACAAACACGTGGCGGACGTGCGCCAGTTGTCTGCCCCTGATAAGGCTCCACCATGCCTTACATATTTATAATATTAACCATATATTCGAAGTATATTTTTATTTTTGGCCATACACTCAGCGAAATAGAGTAGAGGTTCATTTCGAAATGAAATTCCCATCAAATGAATTTAAAATTCGTGTCTCAAATTTGATTTTAATTTGTTCCCATTTTCTAGATAAATTCTTCACAATAAGTTTGAGTCAGCTTGATTTCAAAGTATTGTACATTAGTATTATCATTATTTAAGAATTGACATCTTTAATATAAGTCAAATACCGAGTACCTAAACCTCTTTGTTAACTCACTTTTTTAGAAACTTCACAGCAAATTTTAATTAAAAATGCTATAGATTTATTTTTGYCAAGTGTACGGAGTTGCCCCCAAAAGGCAGCTGCCCCCATATGTTTCTCTGTGCCTGCCTGCCTGGGGGAGATAATTCTGTGTATTTTTTGCTCTGTGCAATATTCAAAGTAGTTTATTCTTA